ATCCCGCATGAACCAGCCTCTACATGTACAAGTATAGGGTGTACAACTATAGAGAACACACACACACATGCGCGCACCCAATTCGAGCACACACTTAATCCCCCACCACACGTACATATTTGATCTTTGTCAAAACTAAAATCAACATTAAAAGTTTAAGAATTAAAATAAGTTCCATCAAAAAATATATTTCCACAAATCGGATTGGAATGGAACGCTTATCATCAATACCGATACCGGTAAATTCATTCCTTCGCATCTCGCATCTTTGCATATATATAATAGTACATGTACCATATCAAATAAGAATAAGTCAATAATACTAATAGTCATAATTCTACTATCATCGTCCTGAGCAAGCTAGGGACTACTCGTTTTTATCCAGATGTTAATTTAAAATGTTTCATGATTTCATCAACAATTAGTTATGATATATTCGTGGCATAAAGTATTATATAATATTTTAAGTATAGTAGGGCTACACATATCCACGCAACCTTTTGTTAGTAAATTAAAAATTTGTTCTGCTCAGAGATTTGAACAGATCAGCCCCGCTATACAAAGGCCCACCCACGTGAAAGTTAACGATCTAAAATGAACACGGGTTAATACGGATAGACAGGTAGATGATTTATTTCATATAGCTTCACCTGCCCCTTCTCGTGATACTGAATGGAAGCAGACTGCTTCCATACAACATAGAAACGGTACCCGAGGGTAGACTAGTATAGGGAGTAGGAGGCCGTGAACTGGATTAGCTCCAAGAAATTCTCAATTACACGCGGACGGATAAGTGTACGCATTTACTTCTCACAGCTACATGCACCGCAGCAGCGATGGTTTTTAAAATGGTTCCGCCAGGGCGTGAGTGAAAACCCCCTGACTGCGATGATCTTATCGTGTTTTCATGTCCTGTTTTAGCTGCTATAAATTTGTTTGGCAAGTGTGAGGTCACTCTGCTGTACTGCGCGCAAACTGGCCAAGTCACTCTTGTTGTACCAGTATTTCACTGGGATTTTCGCCATCAGTAAAGATAGAAACATGCAGCTTTCTGCTTTTACTCCGCGCTTTTGTCATTTGCCTAGCATATCGGTGGAAAACGACTACGGTAACTGCAGCTTTATTGCCATATATAGTGAATTTGTACACGGCATAATATATATGCTTGATCCTTCCGTCCAGCAAGCATGTGTGCGTGCGTGCATGTATGTATGCGTGCGTGCATGTATGTATGCATGCATATTGCATAATATTATATATATATATTATATCAAGAGCTCATAATAGAGAAGAGTATGACACCGTTTTAACAGCGTTTTGCATAATTTTCAACTTGTAAATATTCTATCAATAAGTGAACAAGAGCCGCAGAGCGTCTGGGCTCATCTGAGGTCTGTTGCTACGGTTATAAACGTATCATTGAAGGCGTGCGTAGTGACACCTTTGTTAGGTGCAGATATGCAGATACGCAGTTGCGTACACATCATTTCAGCAACCTTCTGCATTCTGCATACCTCCCAAATCCCATTGGTTAATACAAATCGCGTGCCTGAAACTCCTATTTTATGGTGCATTGTGACCCTAACCCTAACCCTATTAAAAAAAAAAAAAATTAATTGTTGTAAAAATTATTTGTTGTTATTAAAGGGACAGTAGCCTCTAGGATTTTACTGCATACAACTGTACTTACTGTATAACAAATCGTCTATACCCACACGTATTTGTTACCAGATACCTAATTTAAAGGGACAGTAGCCTCTAGGATTTTACTGCATACAACTGTACTTACTGTATAACAAATCGTCTATACCCACACGTATTTGTTACCAAATACCTAATTTAATTGTTATAATTATTTACACATCAACGCTACGAAATTTGAACGGCGCCATGACACCCCGCGACCGTGCTTGCACCGCCGAAAAAGTTGCGTATTTGACAATTTATTTGCACGTACCAGGACCCGAGGGCTTAGATCGCGCACAAAGTCGCAATTACTATTATACCTAAGGCTATTTAAACCCAACCTGAACGATAATTCATGTTTAGTTGGCAAATTTATCCATATTTATAATACTGAAACATATATGTCGTTTGATAAGATGATTACAATCCTTTTGATTTTTTAAATGAAGGTAAATAAAGAAACACCCTCGCGTCTGGTAGCCTTGGCGCTGGGAAAAGTGGTTCTTGCGCAACTTATCAAGATCGTGCGGCTTTGCAGTGGCCGCCACCTGTCGCACTTGATAATCAACAGCCTGTAGTAGTTTAGTTTTACAAACATTTTTTGAATATTCATTTCTAATGGTGATTGGAAACCATCGAACTGTTGTTATGTTAGCGTAATTATAACCTCAAATTTAGCTGACAAATAACCCTTAGAGAACCTAGAGGGTTAACTCTCCCGCTGTTAAATGTGTTTGTAAATAAATCATGTAAATATTTGCCCGTTAATTTGACAACAAACATAGCCTTGAAACACATCGGATAAAGATAGAAACAAAAACAGACAACGAGGGGCGTCAGGAATTAATTAAAAAAATCAGATGGCAATTCCGACTCCAACGACCTTGCAGCCGTGACGCCTTGCGTTGCTGTACGCGATTCGGTCACCGCACCGACTTTTTGGCTCTAAATGTGACCATAGGCGTTATTGGGATTTCTAGATTGAGTAGAGTGCGCTGCTCATGACTGTGACGTCAGTTGAGGGCAGTCAGGAATCTCGATGTTGTTAACCCTCCTCTGAGCCGCGTCAAAAGCGTTATCAGGACACTTATCTTCGCCAGTTCGAGTGGAAAAAGCACTTTCATGCCTTCAAGTAAGTGATAAAAATCGGACTGGTCCCTAGGTCAGCCGCTTGAAGACAAAAAAGTTTTTCACTCTGTCCATTAGGGCTTAGGCCATTACCTCAGAAAATGTCTAATATCTGACCTTTCCCCCCCTGCCCTTTGACCTGTGACCGCCAATTTCGCACTGGTGATGGGTTTCCTGCCCATCGCACTATACACCGAATATTAAGAGCATAAGTCGAGCCGTTAAGATTTGTGCCGCAATTCCGTATTTCCCCCTATACATTAAGTTAAGGGAGAAATATTCCCCATCCGTTTACAAATCTTGACCTTTGACCCTTGACCCCCAAATTTGTCATCCCGAGTCCTTTTCACGATGCACCGCTCAGATGCGAATTGTTGGAAAAACTGTGTGAAACCGTGTCGTATTCAAAGAACTTTTTTGAAGAACACATACGATTTTCAGGTAAATTGGTGGTGTCATATGATTAAGGGAGAATCATAGACGAAAACAAAGTAAAGTTTGAATATATTTATTCACATATTGATAGAACATTTACAAGTTGAAAACTATGCAAAACGCTGTTAAAACGGTGTCATATTCTTCTCTATTATGAGCTCTTGATTAGATACCTCTGAACGTTCAAGAAACGTACAGTGGTGTGACTCGACCATCAAGCAACACGCCCAAAGGAAACGTATATATAAGGTTTACTTTGAACGTGTTTTAACTATATCGCATCATATATATATATATACAAGCCAGGGAGTACGACTTAAAACAACCCCCAAAATATTTAAAATCTACAGAGCAATATTGTCTACTAGTTTTTTTCTATATTATCTACGAGTTTTTGATAAACATCTCAAAAATTTCACAGATTTAATTGGTAACATTTAACTTTTGATGCTGTGAACGTTTGGTGTATTGATAGGTATACTCATTATGTACGTTGAAAGTACTTTGGGTCTGTAGTTTCACATAACTAGACGCATGATCGAACGAAGTAAACGAACAGGCAGGCAGACCTACTCTATGTAATTGTTTGGCCTGAAGGCTGGCTGGTGTTATAAACAACGATGATGGCCGAGATTTGGTAGCAATTTGTAGCTCTGCGTTTCACTGAGAGACTCATTATCAGAAGTTACGAGATGTTACATAATAAGCTTCTACGACTACGTGTTGTTGAAATAATCTCTGCTCTGAATCGTGATTCTGCGTTGAATCGAACGTTCATCAACAAGCAACACAAAGGATATATCTGTGATTAAAACACATCTGAACGCCTGCCATATATGGGCTTTCTCGCACAATTGGTGCTGTTACTAGACCTGTTTCAACTGTACATTTGTTTCGTTAAAAACTAGTCAAGTCATGTGAAACTGGAGGAATAAATTGATAAAATCATGACACAGGTTCAAAGATTAAACTCTATAAAGACGAAAAATATCAAAACACCAGACAGGCTCAAACTTAATTGAAAGTCTTATGCAACTTTTGTGGTATCTAGTTCATTAAGCTAGAATTGAGAAAACGTAGGTAACTTTTGGCTAGCAAATGTTTCATTATGTGTTTTAATAAGGCATACTAAAAAGTAAAAGCCTGCATATATCGAGTCTCCTAATATTAATTTAAAGAAAGGGGACTACGTAATCACGTCTGTGGTTGTATTTCGTTGAACATAAGTACTATATATAATAGTATGCCTAATGTGTTTACATGTATTGTTCATGTATATTATACCACTATGCGACTACTATACAAGTAATGAATTTGAGGGCAAATAAAGTGTTTAAAGTCCTAATATCCCTGTCAAACCTGTCAGCTGAAACAAACCCTATCACAAGCAGACATACATGTACAAATGTAGTTTAAACATGCATAACATGCTAATGTGAGAGAAATTAGCTATCAACGAATTTCCTTACACACTAGGCAAATTGAAATCAAGTAAAAGTATAAAGTACAGGTGCACTAGTAAAGGTATACACCTATAGCTGCTTTACTAATATTATAATATCAATACTTGCAGACAAAACTACCAGTGTTCTGGGAAAAAAGATTAAACTCCATGTTTTAAAACAACTGTTGATAATATAATTATAAATGCAGAACGTTTAATAAGCTCTAAAATCTAAATTTCAACTTGTAAATTATACATAAAAAACATGTAGACACGCGTGTCAATACTCGAGTGAAGTTACACTTACCGCTTTTCCAATCTTTTTTTCTGGGGGGGATTTTGTCAACCAACCGTCATGCACTATATCCATACTTGTCATGACGACGCCGCCTCGCCGCAGGTACGGGCTGGCATGAGAACCGCCACTTCCCTGGCCAGCGCAGGGCGTTTGCTCCTATTCACTGGTGGGAAAATTCTAAATTCTGAGTCAGTGCGCTTAACAAGAACCTGCAAATTAAAAGAAATCCTGACGTTTATTAAGCAGTCACATTTATTTTATTTTTTACGTTTTTTAAACGTAGTTTAATTGTATTACATTGGTCCCCGCTTTACCAGGCCTTGGATAAATGGGTGCATCGCTTATATGACATATATATATATGTGTCCCTGCAAAAATATTCCCTAGTATCCCTACACACATTATTGTACTCAGATGAAGGGGATAGCACCTCAGTTACACACGATGTTTTCTTCACAACAAACTAATGATTCTAAGCTTTTAATGACAATTATCAGCTTCTCCGTAGATTCTTAATATCATGAGTTCACAAAACATTTTTTAGAGCTAAACTTGTGTATTTTAAAAACGCTGTGTATATTGTACATTGTACAGTGCGTGTTTTCAGTGCAGACTGCGTAACGTACAAGTAGACACGCATGTGCGACTAGAAATATCTTCACCCTTAATCGCGACCATCACCACAGCCTAATCGGGACATTATCATGGTTTCCAAGTCCCAACCTGTCTCGATAAAAGCCAAATTAGACTGCATAGACAAACGACTAACGGTAACATTCAGCGTCAACAAATCGGAGCAACTGGCACATCCACACTACAGGTAGGACTGACGTTAGGTCAAAGTTCGTATCCTTTCTTGCTACACAATAGCGGACTTTTTAAGCTTGTAAACTCTAGAATTTTGAATGTTAGACGAGCTAACCATTGATTTAGAGGTCCTGTGCTTAGAATAACAAAATGTTTTCTTTTAGCTAGGCAGCTTTGCACAATAAATACCTCAGATCTTATAAAATCAAATTTCCCTAAACACGTGAAAAAGTCTGCTCAACAGTTGCCTTCGAAATCCAAAGACAGTTGAGCAGCCTAATTTTCACAATGAAATGTTCTTGTCATGTGACGATGAAAACATTACCAATGCCAGGCTGCAATTATTTATTCATTAAGCGACTCGTGACTGTTTTGTTAGCAATCACAAACAATTTTAAGTATTTTTATCGTTACAGTTATTGCCAGACATATCACGTGCGTCGTATGGCTCATTAGAAACAATAGGCGTGTTCACACACAAGAAAAACCGCGATGCTAATCGCGATGGAAATACCGAGATAATTGTGCCCTTGTTCACACAGGCGGAAATATCTCGCTAATCACCGAGCGGGATAATTCTATTAATCGAACTGCGCATGCCTGATATCAAGCCGAATTATGTACTACCGGGATTCGAGTTCGGTGTTCGATTCCACGTACACGGCAGTGCAGTCGTTGGTAGTAGTCTAGCTCTGTTACGTTAAAACGTATGCTACTCTAGCTCTGTTACGTTAACGTAGATGCTACTCTACGTCTGCACGTATTTACGTAAACACATCGTATTGTTAGTACAGAGTCGAGACTGCATCTTTTCAGATTGAATTGAGATCGGCGATTAACCCTCCTTTCTTGATGGGATAGAAAATACCGGGATTATTTGCGCGAGCGTTCACACACACGCCGCGGTGCAATTAATCGCGCTAATTCCCAAATAATCGCAGGCTAAAGTGCGATTTGCAGTGCGATGCTGATTGTGATACGTAGTGAGATTTTTGCGTTCACACTTGTAAAAATCTCGAGATTTCGATCGCGATGCAAAAACCGAGATTTGCATCCCGCTAATTCCCGCCAGTGTGAACGCGCCTAATAGCTTATAATTTTCTCAAATGCCACTGAACGTCAGGGTAGGTCATTGTTGCTACAGTGTCTTGACATCTAAAAAGGTGTACTGACTTACTTTGTCAAAATAACTGAGTCAAACATAAATATATTATAGATATATTTAGATTCTTCAAGTACTTAAAAAAACTTGTCAGAATTAGAACGTAATAATGTTGCTACATGGGTTTACATATACATATTCGAAATCTCTACACTCCAATAAGAAGTGTTGTGACAATCGCGTCACGTGATTACTCACGTCTGATGTCACATTAGTCATGTTAGTAATAGTAGTCATGCCGCTGTGTAAGGTTGGCCATCATACTCGGAAATAGTTATGTCTACCGCAGTAAAAATATAGCCCTTTTACCCAATCAGAGGCCTTGTTAACTGCAGTGACATTATAGCCCCTTTACTCAATCAGAGGCGTTGTTCAAGAAAATCTTGTTACACCTAATTTAACGGTGGATAAATTACTTTTAAAGTGATTACGTCACGAATTTTCTATGGTAAGAAACCGAACCGGACCGGAAACCGGAAGTTGTTGCGACCTCTAGCGGCGACAAACACGCATGGTGTTGACTATAGTTACTCCCCTACTGATCGGGAATATGATGCCCTATCGGTAAATATCGGTAAATTTTCATACAAAATATCAGGAATTTCGGTAAATTCTCAGACTGATCATTCATCACATAAAGAAGCTGAAATATCATTAATAGACCATTTACTCCATTTTTTTTCCACTGGCCCATCAGGCTTGTTCATTTACCAGTTTCATTGGCCCCACTGAAAATTTACCGGCCTCGGATACCGGACCAGTGGTTAATTTCGCAGACTGAACATTAATTATTTCCTATGGGCTATGTATGCGTCACGAGTGTATGTTCACATCGAACAATATAGTAAAATATGAAGTATAATGCAGCAATTTAACCATAAAAAGTGAAAAGAATTACTTATATTTTGTGAAAAAGTGGAAATATTTTTTTCATTTTTTTTATTATTTACTATTACTATTTAAAGAAATTTCAAAATTTTGTACTAAACAAACATCGAATAATAAATTAGAACTTGTTTTATCATAGAAAAGAACTGTTAAAATGAAAATTGTGATCGCTCGGCTGTGTCCCGGATGTGTAAACACTGTAAACATTCGAAAGTACTAGTTTCATAAGACTGTTTAGATTTGCTGAATAAATGTTATGAAAGTAGCAACACAAATGAGTTGTAGTGAATTTTTACAACATACAGGAGCTCACAGTAGGTATACATGCATTTTGCTGCAAAAACTGGCAACTTTAAGTAAACTATAGCCAAAGGAGTCTATGATCGACTTGTAACTTTACATGCATGCATGATTTATAAACTTGCTTAAAATTATATTACTTGGTGATGGGACTTACTACTTAAATGCATACAGTTATGTCATACATATATATATATATACATATATGCATGGCAGGGGTAGAATTTAACTTTTGAAACCACTCGCAATTTTTAGCGAGTGGGTCAAATTTCAACTCGCAAAATCCGAAACACTTCCATTTTTAATATAATTATTTTTGTAGTGCACAATATGCTAACGCTTTAATTAAAAATGTTATCTTTTTAGTTACTTTATAGATGTTATATAATGTTGAGATGACTTTATTAAACCAGGCTACAAAGCGTGAAGATAGTTCTAATACTCTTGGTAGCGGCCGATTGCGCGAGGTTTATAATCCTTACTCAGTTTGTAGACAGTACGTGTTTATAATTTTGCAAAAATTTGTTGGTCTAGTTCCGTTATGACTTATGTTGACAACTTGTTACTTTTAAAATGCCTGGATATGGGATGTTGGATTTTAATAGTCATCACAACAGATTATATACATGTCACTCGCACAAAAATGCAAACTTGTGCTTATATTTTCTACTCGCAACTTCGGAAATCCACTCGCATTTTGCGAGTGTGCGAGCATTAATTTCAAACCCTGCATGGTGTTAAAAATTAAGCAACTTTGTCTGGTAGTCATAAAGGACTACTAGATTTTGTAATCTGGTTGTCTGTGAGCAATTCTGGTAGTTCAGTATTTTTTAGTGTTAGTCAAAATCTGACAGTACTAAGTTAGGGTGGCACTGCACACAGGCACTTGGAACGTCTCAATAAAAAAAAAAAGGTAAACAGTCCTCGCCAAAAGACAAAATCCTTTACTGGACATTCGGTCCAGTAAAAAATAGATTTTTACCAGACCGAATGATATGTTACTGGACCCAAAAAATATTGAAACATTAAAACACATTCACATCTCTGTTGCTTTTCCTTTGTGGACATATCTAACATATATGCTTTCCTGCTCATCACCTCATGGTCTGTTGACCCGTCCATTATAAAGCTGAAAAAGCTAGCATCGTTAATTTTTTCATCCATTTCGTGACGCGTACAATCAGCAATGCATTCGATAATGCCAGCTTTGTCATTGATGTAGGTTTCACCTATTTCTAGGCCTTTGGCCTTGTCCAGTTGTGTGATCCAGGTATAATCAGTGATAGTAATATAAACTTCCCATGATAGTTCACACACACGTCGCATTCATCATTTTCTATCTTTTTATGCATATAACAGCACATGCTCTCCTATCGCTTTTCCCACACCATAGAATTAATTTGGTTACACACGTTAATATATAGACCATAGCATATAGTCGGGATTAGGCTGCATTAGATAGTGTGTAGGTACCACACGTACCCGAGCCTCTGGCGAATTAGTTGAGGTAATGTTATTGACACTACGTCTGGTCAAAAGCCAAATTTCTTGTCGGGAGCGGTGGCGAAATATCACCGGTTATTGTCCGACGGTCTCACGCTTTTGGCGAGGATCTGGGGTAATAACACGAGAAATGTTACCAAGTCTTATGTTTCTTCTACTCTATATTCGCATATTAACACTGTAAATGCAGGTCAAATGCTCATCTGCAACACACAAGTACAGCCGAACGCGCGCGCCGCGCTGTGCTGGTGCAGCAAACAACATGAATACAGACTCAAGAGGACAGGTAGGAAAGCGGATTAAAAATCTTGTTCGACGCTTGCTTCATTTCACACCTATCAAGCTTCCCATCTTGGTATCTAGTGTACATAAATGTTCAC